TCTTGCCGTCACACTTTCCTAACATCAAGGTCTTTTCGAAGGAGTCTTCTCTTCTCATGAGATGGCCAAAGTACTGGAGCCTCAGCTCCAGGATCTGTCCTTCCAGTGAGCACTCAGGGTTGATTTCCTTTAGAACTGATAGGTTTGTTCTCCTTGCAGTCCAGGGGATTCTCAAGAGTCTCCTCCAGCACCACAATTCAAAGGCATCAATTCTTCGGTGGTCTGCTTTCTTTATGGTCCAGCTCTCACTTCCATACATCACAACAGGAAAAACCATAGCTTTGATAATTACATTACAGTTAATTACTTTCATACTAATATATCATCCAGTAAGAATGGAGGAGAAAGTAAAAAAAAGATGGAAGGCCTTCTCCACTAGAAATATTATCCAACCCCCTCCTTCAAACTGAAAATGAGAGAGACATGAACAGTCAGCAGTTACAATCTTTTCTTTATTACATTTAGCAACCTATTCACCAAAGGATCATTTTATTCACCATATTACATTCCCTTTCACTACATCTTCTTTACACTTGGTAGCTGAAAACCTTCAGGCATCCGAGGCCCAAATCCAACTAAGGATACCAAACCAGAGTAATCCCGTTGAATCAGTGGGATTTCTATAAATATTGACTTAGTGCGCAACAGTTGTTCCTACAGATCCTTTGGGTTTAGACCTTCTGTTGTGGCTGAGAAATCACCAGGATAATCTCTAGAAGATCCAATGAGCTGTCACCAGAACAGACAATTCGCTGCAAATTGCAAATTAAGACATAAATTACAGCAGGTCTTTCTTCTGATGTACTGGATCAGTGGTACCCAAGAGGAATTATCCAGAAACCCTCATCTTTGGCCACACAAGGTAGGGCATTTAAGAAGTGAAGCCCCTTCATATTAGGTTTACCAAGCCAGGGCACTGTTGTACTAAACAGATCCCCAAAGGACTTTAGAATTAGCTGGGTTGCCTCTTAATGGTCCCTCAGCTGACCTCATGTAGCCAGCTTTAGAACTGCAACCTAAAGTGATAAAAAATGTATTTAAATGTGCCCAGAGGGAACTGTTTTCTTTCACACCTAAAAGCCAGCAGGGATGGTGGGAGGAAAAATGGAAATATGATATTCCACAACAGGAGCATCATGGAGCGGGGAAATCCTCATGGAGGATTGTAAAATTCAATAAAAATTTAGAAAAGACAGTGATCTGGTGGCAGGAGGGGCAGAGACCAGGAGAATAGCAGCAGTTCTGAATGCCAAGCAAAATAAACTGAATAAAGTACATGCACATGTGCATTAACCTTTTATCACAATTGCAACATATTCAAAATATACCTGTTAACTCCAGGATTCCAATCAATTTATTCCAATTCAACTTCCTTTGCTCTGAACCCTAAATCTCATTGTTTTTTATGCTTTCAAATTGAGAATCTGAAAGGAGCGTTTCCACGTGAAAAGGCCATCATAAACTCTCTATTGTATCCCTCAGTTCCCTTCAACTCTACAAATTTCGGGAGTAGCATATATTTTTAAAAGAAATTAAGAAATGCAGCATTTGAGTCTGGACTGAAATCTTGTATCTTAGTGCCAAATGATATCCAAATGAATGTGTGTACCAGAAAACAGCATCCAAAAACTTGAAAGTTGTGGTCAGCGTTTTCAAAACAGAAATGAACCGCAATGCAAACTGAAATCTTGTGCTTTTAGATTTTAAACATTCAGAACTTCTCCATGGTGATAAAGAAATTCAGGTATCAATACAAAACATGAGAATCTAGGTAATCATGTTCCATAAATGCTCTTGATCATTTATGAATGAGAATTGTTCTCACAAACTTAAACTTCAGATCGAATAATATACAGATTTCGGGTGTACTGTAATAACTTCCCTTCAGATTCACAAAGTAAATTCCTTTCCTCTTGCTAATTAATTAGAAGGCATAATAGCAAGGAAGGAGGAAGGAAATGTACTTTACCTACTGCAAACAAAATCCATATGTTAAACAGCCACATTTCCATATTAAATCAGAACCCAGCCGGAGCCACAAGGCTCTCTGAGTGATGTGGTTGACACATACCAGTTCCAGTGGCTAATAATATGCATGGGTGTTACATGACTGTGTCCGTACCTGGTCATCATATGGCTTCCCAAACTTGCTAGATGAGAAACTGATTCTGTCTTTTCGTTGTGGGATCCACAACGTGTTTGCAGATGGCTTCAAGACATACACTGTGGCTTGATAAATGAACTGTGTGGTGTAATTGAACAGCGTGGTAGTGCAGTGGTGCATGCATCTCATTCACTCCTCCCTTCGTCGAAGGAGGTAAACAAACCAGGAAGAAATAACTTCACATCATGCCCAAACCCGAGATTGTGTGTATACACATACACAAACAAGTCAGGATTTGTTAGTCAACATCAATCACTGGTTTAAACTTGGCTTGTGATCCTGGCTTGTTTGGCTGCATGGACCTACCCATAATCTCAGTTTGGATGTCCTGCGAAGCTGCCACTTCCTGGTTTGTTCATTTGTTCATGAGACGTCATGGAGTGAACAGGTCCTCTGAAGCAGTGCATACCTCATTCATGGTTCACTAAGCCATCGTTTTTGGCTGGAAGTGACATGTGAACATAGCCACAGGCTGAGCTCTCACTGAAACAATGAACCTACTTCTGGATCGTAGCATTTATGTGATCTTACAAACCTGCTATGATCTGAATCAGTCCATACGTTTCTGCACCTATCCCTGTATTATAGGTATATTCTTACTGACAATGGTTTTTCAAGATCATGAACACAAGTCATAACCAATCCTGCAACTTTCCAAGCTAAATTCTTTTTTAAGTGGAGAAGCTGCAGACGAAATCTGAGACTTTGATCAGGCAGCCGATGTGCTGGTGGCTGGAGGAGGTTCGATAGACGGAATGGTCTTCCATAGAAAATGATTCTCACCACATCAAAGACTAGCAGTTCTAGTCAGTGGAAGTCAATCTCTAGGGATCCAAGAACCACAGATCCCTGGACTTTGGTGGGCTACACTCACTGGGCTTCCAGGGAGAAGAGCCAGCCTGGGTGGCCTTGGGCAAGCTGCACAATCCCCGGGCATCCCCAGAAGAAGGGAAGGAAAAAACATTTCTGAATACTCTCTACCTGGAAAACCTTGGAAAGGGTTATCATAAGTCAGAATTGACTTGATGGCACACAAGGATTAAGCTGGCTGGATAGCTCAGTGGTTTAGGTATCTGGTTGGGACTTTGATTTCCCACTGCAAGTAGAATCAGCCTGTGTAGCCTTGGGCGAGCTGCGCAGTCCCAGGACATCCCCCCCAAAAAAGGGGATGGGGAACTACTTCTCAAAATGCTCTACTGGAAACCCATGAAAAGGGCCACCATAAGTCAGAAATGACTTGATAGCACATTGTTATTATATTCAAAAAATACCAGACACAGTCAATCAAAACTATAAAAACATGGACTGGTATTATATAACAGATACAAGTTTCAACCAAAAACCTAAGTATCTGTTAAAATATCTACGAAGTATGTATGCTCTTCCTAATATTGCCATTTTTTGTAGCTCTGATGGTGGGATTTCTGAGCTCTGCAACTGCTTATAGTACTGTGTGAAATGTCTTGATATTGTTCCCAAAGCCCCAATGACTAAGGGGACCACTAAAATGTGTTTTATCCACAAACCAGATGTTTTGATGGCCAGATCTCTGCATTTTGTTGGTTTTTCCAATTCTTTATTTTCAACTCTGGCATCCCCTGGCATTATAATTATTTATTTTTAAAAGCTCGTTATGCAAGGCACAGTAGAGGTAAAAATAATATGAGAACCAGGGCTGTAGGATGAACTTTGACTAACAAGATGAGTCACTTCATTAGTGAGTGAGTGGTGACACCATTCAAGGCTGTCCAACGCCTTGGGCTGGCCTACATCCCTGGTGTAAAAGTGTTATGAGCTTTCTCAAAGCTTTTATGTGTGAAGGGTGAAAGGGATTGTAGGATGGAGGACATGAGTAACAACAACAGGATGTGTGAGATCTTCATCTTTCTATGGATTAGCATCAAGGATGGGAGGTGTGAGGATCACGGACTTGGTGGTCTATAACACAACAGAAAGCCTCAGAGACTTGATGTTGCCTAGCAACAGCCATCATAGGTTATCAGAACAGCCCGAGTTTCCATTTCTAGGAAGCTTCCCAGTACCATCTTAACTCCAGTCCAAGATTTCCTGAACAGCAATGCCAGAATCCTATTGCCGATTCACACTTGTATAAGGGAAATTGTGTAAATCTTGGCAGCAAATTGTTGCTTTTCAGTGAAGTGCTGGCTGCATTTCTGGGTGTGCACCTGGTCACTTGGAGGCAATAGCAACACAACCAGCAACTTGAATAATGAGTGACAATTTGCTACGAAGACCTACACATGCATAAATAGGAAGTAGGATTCATATTGTTGTATGGCTTGATTTTGAATTGACAATTAAGACTTACAACACCTTCTAGAACTGACACCAAAGAGAGATGTTCTTCTCATTCTAGGGGACTGGAATGCCAAAGTAGAGAGCCAAGAGATAAAAGGAACAACAGGGAAATTTGGCCTTGGAGTTCAGAACGAAGCAGGGCAAAGGCTAATAGAGTTTTGTCAAGAGAAAAAGCTGGTAATCACTCTTTTCCAACAACACAGGAGTCAGCTCTACACATGGACATCACCGAAATCAGATTGATTATCTTCTGTGCAGCCAAAGATGGAGAATCTCTATACAGTCAGCAAAAACAAGATCTGGAGCTGATTGTGGCTCTGATCATCAGCTTCTTATAGCAAAACCCAAGCTTACTGTAAACTCAAGAAAGTAGGAAAAACCACTGGGCTTGTCAGGTATAATCTAAACCAAATCCCTTATGAATACACAGTGGAAGTGAAGAACAGATTTAGTGGACAGAGTGCTGGAAGAACTATGGATGGAGGCCTGTAACATTGTACAGGAGGCAGCAACAAAAACCATCCCAAAGAAAAGGAAATGCAAGAAAGCAAAGTGGCTGTCCAGCGAGGCTTTACAAATAGCAGAGAGGAGAAGGGAAACAAAATGCAAGGGAGATAGGGAAAGTTACAGAAAATTGAATGCAGACTTCCAAAAAATAGCAAGGAGAGACAAGAGGGCCTTCTTAAATGAACAATGTAAAGAAGTAGAGGAAAATAATAGAAAAGGAAAAACCAGAGATCTGTTCAGGAAAATTGGAGATATTAGAGGAGCATTTTGTGCAAAGATGAACATGATAAAGGACAAAAATGGGAGAGACCTCACAGAAGCAGAAGACATCAAGAAGAGGTGGCAAGAATACACAGAGGAATTATACCAGAAAGATCTTTATGTCCCAGACAACCTAGATAGTGTGGTTGCTGACCTTGAGCCAGACATCCTGGAGAGTGAAGTCAAGTGGGCCTTAGAAAGCATAGCTAACAAGGCCAGTGGAGGTGATGGCATTCCACATGACCTAATTAAATCTTAAAAGATGATGCTGTTAATGTGGTGCACTCAATATGCCAGCAAGTTTGGAAAACTCAGCAGTGGCCAGAGGATTGGAAAAGATCAGTCTACATCCCAATCCCAAAGAAGGGCAGTGCCAAAGAATGCTCCAACTACTGTACAATTGCACTCATTTCACACTCTAGCAAGGTTATGCTCAAAATCCTCCAAGGTAGGCTTCAGCAGTATGTGGACCAAGAACTCCCAGAAGGACAAGCTGGATTCCGAAGGGGCAGAGGAACTAGAAACCAAATTGCTAACATGCGCTGGATTATGGAGAAAGCCAGAGAGTTCCAGAAAAACATCTACTTCTGCTTCATTGACTATGCGAAAGCCTTTGACTGTGTGGACCACAACAAACTATGACAAGTCCTTAAAGAAATGGGAGTGCCTGACCACCTTATCCATCTCCTGAGAAATCTATATATGGGCGAGGAAGCAACAGTTAGAACTGAATATGGAACAACTGATTGGTTCAAAATTGGGAAAGGAGTACAACAAGGCTGTATATTGTCCCCCTGCTTATTTAACTTATATGCAGAATACATCATGCGGAAGGCCGGACTGGAGGAATCCCAGGCCATAATCAAGATGGCTGGAAGAAATATCAATAACCGCCAATATGTAGATGATACCACTCTGATGGCAGAAAATGAGGAGGAATTAAAGAACCTTGTAAGTGTGAAGGCAAGAGGAGAAGGGGACAACAGAAGACGAGATGGTTGGACAGTGTCACCAAAGCAACCAACATGACTTTGACCCAACTCCGGGAGGCAGTGGAAGACAGGAGGGCCTTCTATGCTCTGGTCCATGGGGTCACGAAGAGTCGGACACGACTTAATGACTAAACAACAACAAAAGGATCATTCCATTTCGGTTCCGTTCCAGCCCATGATCTACCGCAGTGGTTCTTAACCTTGGGTTACTCAGGTGTTTTCACCACCAGCTGTGCTGGCTGGGGTTTCTGGGAGTTGTAGTTCAAAAACACCTGAGTAACCCAAAGTTAAGGACCATTGATCTACCATATGGATATAAATCAAAATATACCAAAGATAAGTTATTAAACACACAGGAAAGGCAGTCTCACACCTACCTTTCCCTTTCCCTGGCAAAAATAACAAAATAAGTAACTACTGTACCTCTTTGCTGCTTTTTCACAGCCTCAGGTGTCCACCTAGTTCCACTGCTAATTCAGGACTGGACAACATCTAACCAGTCTTGTCCTGTTTCCAAAAAGAATATTTTCTGGCCTAGAACAGGTGGGAGGGGAATTCTGCTTCAATATAATTTCCCCCTCAGCTTTTTTTAGGCCAGAAAGTGTGCTGCTTATATACTTCCCCATAGCGATTAAAACATTTTTTTTAATGATGCAGGCTACACATGGCCCCCAACTCCCACCAAGCTGGGTAACCAGTTTACCAACCTCAGAAGAATAGGAGGCTGAGTCAGTTTTGAGCTGGCTCCCTGAGTTTGCTGGGATCGAACTCAGGTTGTGTGAGCAGAGTCCTGGTTGCAGGACTGCAGTTTAGCCACTGTACCACGAGGCTCTTTTGAATAGAAAACGCTACCTCTAGAGGCTTTTAGGAGTGACCTTTGGTGTTCAGATCCTGGGAAACGATTGAGGGGGAACGGGCCCCTAGAGAGTATGGTCTGTCAAGATTTTGGGGAAGGCATGTGACCCTGGACTAGTGGTGCCGCCACCTCCAAGACTGACGTATGGTGCAAAATGTACTTGGGTGCAATCCAGACAATTGGAATATGTCTTTCTTGCCTTTTGCTTGTCCAAAAGTTTGCCCCGTCATAATGAGGAATCCCCTTAACCATTTCACATAATTTGCAACTTTCCTTTCCAGATGGTATATAAGTGGCATTGGCAGAAACAAGGCGACCCTGCTCCTCCTTTCTTCACCGAATCGCCACGGCTCTTTCCTCATCCGGGACAGCGAGAGTAATAAAGGAGAATATTCCCTGTCAGGTAATGGCCACCTTTAAAAAAAAAACATTCTGTTCCATGGGACATATCTTGACACCTTTAGCAAACTGCCTTACACAGGGTTTAATGGAGAAGGGAAGTTCGTCTTGGTGGACAGAATCTTTTAAAAGGAGAACTGTCTATGTTTCTAATGTAAAATGTTTACCGAAATTTGTTCTGTTGAGACTCTTCTCTTAGAAACTTGCTTAGGAAGCATATTAAGATGGGAGGTACCATGTATTCATGCTGGCAAGAAAATCAATACCCATACACCCTAGAGTCATCCAAATTCCAAAATGCATAGGGTGTCTTTTATGGAAAGCAATACAAAGCATCATAAACATGTAAAATAGGCTAGTTTTCTTTTAAGTAGTCATTTCTTATAGGAGTGGTTCTTAACCTTTGTTACTCGGATACTTTTGAATTGCAACTCCCAGAAACCCCAGTCAGCACAGCTGGTGGTGAAGGCTTCTGGGAGTTGCAGTCCAAAATTCCTGAGTAACCCAAGATTAAGAACCAGCGTCTTATAGGACAGCGGTTCCCAACCTTGGGTCTCCAGATGTTCTTGGACTACAGCTCCCAGAAATCCTGTCCAAACCAGCTAGTGGTGAAGGCTCCTGGGAATTTTAGTACCCAACGTTGGGAACCCTTGTTGTAGAATAGACTCAAGCTGAAGCATTCCTATGGCATCTGCTCAGCATGACAGACAGAGTTTATCTGGTTATCTCTTGGGCAAAGGTGTCCTTGGCCTATTTCATCAAAGGAAAGTATTGTTTTATGATGCCTTGTTAACAATCCAGTAGATGCAGGTGTGACTACCTGTCTTTGCCCTTGGCAGAGAATGGCTGTTACTCATAATACATTAGCTATATGACAACAGAGAGACATTGGCTATTTCATACATTTGTTAAATTCTAACACATATAGTTATCCATTAGGAACTACGGTCTTCCTGTATTCGTATCAGAGTGTTGCACAATCCAAAATCAGGGACGCACATGAAATGTAGGCACAATTTTGAAAACCAATTAAAATGTCAAGACATTTAGAGCTTAAAATACATGCAGCAATTTTTCTGCACCTTCAGCCGTTGACGCACATGAAATGTAGGCACAATTTTGAATGCCAATTAAAATGTCAAGACATTTAGAGCTCAAAATACGTGCAGCAACTTTTCTGCACCTTCAGCCATTGTCCAGGGGGGGTTGGATGCCCATGAAATGGGTTGGGTTTGTTGCTGTTTCAGTGCAATGCTTCTGGGAGTGAAGCATTTGCTGGCTGCATACGATTGCGCGCGGGGGACACTCAAGGACACTCACACTGCTTTCCTGTCTTCACCTCACCACCACCTCTGCTGGCCAGGATTTCTGGGAGTTGAGGTCCAAGAACATCTGGAGGCCCAAGGTTGGAGATCACTGGTCCAGGGGGTTGGGTGCCCATGAAATGGGTTGGGTTTGTTGCTCTTTCAGTGCAATGCTTCTGGGAGTGAAGCATTTGCCGGCTGCATACGATTGCGCGCGCGGGGGACACAGTCCTTTCCCGCTCTCCAGGGAGGTTCTTTCTATATCCCTCTGAAAGGGAATTGCCTCCGTTCCAAACGGCAGCTCCGAACTAATTTATATGAAAGGCAGAGGGCAAAAGTTTTGGTTCACAGGGTTCTGACATGGGTTAATCCTTAGGTTTGATTTTTGGAACATCCCTCTGCATCTGGGCTGCACATTTCCAGTACACTATATGCTCAGAGGAGAGATCTAATAGATTCAGCACCCCTCTGGCAAGGTATAAAAAAGCAACATTAAACTGCATACAGTGGAACCTCTACTTCAGAACTTAATCCGTTTTGGAATGGTGTTCTTAAGTTGAAACATTCTTAAGTTGAAGCAAAATTTCCCATAGGAATGGACTGAAAATCAATTAATCCGTTCTGGCTGGTTTTTTTTGTTATGTAGAGGTGTGTTCGTACATTGAAGCATTAGTTCCCATAGGAACTAATGCAAAGCTGGTTAATACGTACTCTACCACTAGGGGGAGAATTTTTTTTTTAACCTAAGATGACCTAAGGTTAAAAAAAGAGCAGGAAAGGTTTTTTTTCCTGTTCTTATCTTGGATTTCTGTTCTCAAGTAGAAGCAAAATTTAGCAAATGGAGCTGTTCTTAAGTTGGATTGTTCTTAAGTAGGGACGTTCTTAAGTAGAGACCCCACTGTATAGGTAAATGGTAGTCACTGTATCTTGCGGAAATTGTGCCCAGGCTAATAGGAGTAGTGTAATTAACGTCGTTGTTATGTACCATCAAACCAGAAAAAGTGTGCTGCTTATAATGACCCTAATAAGGCATTCAAGGTGTGAGATATTTAAAGAGTGGATTTACCAGTCCCACACTCCTGGTGAGTTTTCATGGCCAGGTGAGGATTTGAGCCCTGAACACTCTATTCACTATCTCATACTGGATATTACTGGTGTAGTAGTAAATTTTAAAGCACATGTGTTCAACATCACAGTCGCATGGAAACAGACCAAGAGAACGCCGTAGTCACATACCCAAAAAGGAAGGGATGATCAAGGGTAAGAAACTGCTTTTCTGTTATTTCATACTCAGTGGAACTAACACTCTGGTCAAACTCTTTCATAAAACGCATCCAAAACAATTAAACAAATCAGAAATGAAATATTGGCACACAACAATATTTGTCTTGAGTGTTTCGTGTTCATTTTCTTTCTCCAAGAAGAAAAATGAAACTGCAAAATTATTGCAATTTCTGCACAAAATAAAAACCTGCCTTGCTGTTGGAAAGGAAATAGAGCAGTTCAGATGTTAGAGTTTTCATATGCAAAGCAACAAGTGAAATATAGAACAAAAATAAACAGGAAAGGTCAAATTGGAGATCTCATTTTTTCCTGGAAAAATTCTAGAGCAGATCATTAAACAGGCAGTTTGTTATTACTTAGAAAGCAAGGCGGTCATCACTAAAAGTCAACACGGGTTTCTCAAAAACAAGTCATGCCAGACTAATCTGATCTCTCTTTTTTTTGATAGAGTTACAGGCATGACAGATGAAGGGAACACTGTGGGTGTAGCATATCTTGATTTCAGTAAGGCCTTTGACATCATATTCTTGCAAGGAAGCTAGCAAAATGTGGGCTAGACAGTGCTACTGTTCGGTAGATTTGTAATTGGCTGACTGACCGAACCCAAAGGGTGATCGCCAATGGCTTCTCTTCATCCTGGAAAGAGGTGACTAGTGGGGTGCCCCAGGGTTCTGTTCTGGGCCCTGTGCTGTTCAACATCTTTATCAATGACACGGATGAAGGAATAGAGAGTATGCTGATTAAATTCACAGATGATACCAAATTGGGAGGAGTTGCTAATTCCCCAGAGGACAGGATTAAAATTCAAAATGACTTTGACAGATTAGAGTCCTGGGCCAAAACTAACAAAATGAATTTCAACAGGGAGAAATGCAAGGTCCTACACCTAGGCAGAAAAAAAATGAACTGCACAGATATAGGAAGACACCTGGCTAGACAATAGTACCTGTGGAAGGGATCTAGGAATCTTGGTAGACCACAAACAGAACATGATGCGGCTGCCAAGAAAGCCAATGCAATTCTTGGTTGCATCGATAGGAGTATAGTGTCTAGATCAAGGGAAGTGATACTACCACTCCACTCTGCTTTGGTCAGACCTCACCTGGAGTATTGTGTCCAGTTTTGTGCACCTCAATTCAAGAAGGATATTGGAGACCTCACCTGGAGTATTGTGTCCAGTTCTGTGCACCTCAATTCAAGAAGGATATTGACAATTGGAGCATGTCCAGAGGATGGCGACTAAAATGGTCAAAGGTCTAGAAGCCAAGTCCTACGAGGAGCATCTTAGGGAGTTGGGAATGTTTAGCCTTAGAAAAAGAAGGTTGAGAGGTGACATGATGGCCATTTTTAAATGCTTGAAAGGATGTCGTGTTAAGGAAGGGACAAGTTTGTTTTCCAGGGCTCCAGAGACTAGGACACGGAGCAATGGTTTCGAACTACAGGAAAAGAGATTCCATCTGAACATTAGGAAGAACTTCCTGACGGTCAGAGCTGTCCGGCAGTGGAATAGGCTGCCTTGAAGGGTCGTGGAGGTTTTTAAGCAGAGGCTGGATGGCAATCTGTCAGAATAATTTGATGGAGTTCCTGCATGGCGGAGGGTTGGACTGTATGGCCTCAGTGGTCCCTTCCAATGCTATGATTCTGTGATTCTATATGAAGCCAGGAAATCTCACAGGCACAGAGAGATCTCTGAGCAAAGAGTCTAGGCATGGCAAAACATGGAAAACAGCAAGAATCATCACCATGTGCCTATGGCAACCCTTTTCGGGGTTTCCCAGGGAGAGAATACTCAGTAGTAATTTACCAGTCCCTTCTGCTGAGGGTGCTCTGGGACTAGGCAGCTTGCCCAAGGCCACCCAGGCTGGTTTTTTCCCTAGGAGGCACGTTGCCCAAGGCCACCCAGGCTGGTTCTTTCCCTAGGAGGCATGGAGGGGGAATTGAACTCCCACCTTCTGGCTCCCCAGCCAGAGACCTAAACCATGGAGCTATCCAGCTAAAATCAGCAAAGAAAGTGGCATTTTTCCAAGTAGTCTCTACCACCTGAGTTTGAATGATCCTAGTTTGGATAACAAAGGAGCAAGTTTTAACAAAAGATCTGCAGCCAGCCGATAGGCTGAAATGCAAGCTTTTGGCCTTGAAGGAGGGAGGTGAATAACTTTGCAATGCAAGTGACTGTGTCATCATGCCTGCTCTGGAAAAAAAAAGCAGGGGGGGATCGAATTTATATTTCATTGCTTTCCCATCCACTGTGTTCAGTAGGGGAGGAGAGTTTGGAAGAGGTAGCAGACAAGGGAACCACAGATCCTCCTGACTTTATTTTGGTTCAAGAGTTAAATCACAGACCACACCTTTCCACATTCCAGCTGCAAAAACAGCACCTAGAACTCGTAACACCCTTCTAATCACACCGTGAACG